GGGGCAGCGGCCACGGGCGGCCGAGGGGGGCCCGGCGGGTGGGCTGCGGGCCGGGCGGGGGTCCCTGGGGAGGGGCCGCTGGGTGGGGACCCCCCCAGGCCGGGGGGCTGAGGGAAATGTGGTCTGTCTTGCAGGACATCGATTTGATTGACATCCTGTGGAGACAGGATATTGATCTCGGCGCTGGGCGAGAGATCTTTGACTACAGCCACCGTCAGAAAGAGAGCGAAGTGGACAAAGAGCTGAGCGATGGGAGGGAGCGCGGGGACAGCTGGAGGAGTGCAGGGAATGAGGTCTTGGATAGAATCCCGCTAGTTGATGGAGAGACCGGGGAGAGTTTCCCTGCGCAGGTAACGCCCCGGGCCGGGGCTGCGCTCCCCTCCCGCGGCCGTGCCCGTGCCCAGCAGCGCCAGGCTGTGCCCAGCAGGGCTTGGGCAGGGCCGCAGCGTGCCCCCAGGCCGGAGGGGCAGCAGGGACGGCAGGGACAGCAGGGGCAGCAGGGACAGCAGGGGCAGCGGCTGGCGCTCTCCCGAGCCCGGAGGGGCGGCTGGAGCCAGCACAGGAGCGCTGGGCGGGGCTCTGGCTCTTTTCGGATGCGCTGTGAGCCAGCCCTGCTGGAAGGGAGCTGGTTCCTCCTGAGCAGCAGCTGCCCGAGGCCCCGCTCCCAGCCCGTGTGTTTGCTGTGCCCCCAGGTGCCCGGAGCGGAGGATCAGACTGCCCTGTCCCTGGAGGAGTGCCTTAGGCTGCTGGAGGCCACCTTCCCCTTCGGGGACAATTCCGAGGTGAGCCCACGGGCTGGATCCCCAGGCTCGCGCTGGGGTTTTGTGCCTCCTGTGCTTCTCCTGCAGCAGCAGATTGGGTTTGGCTGCTCCAGGCACCCTGCGGAACCACGCGGGGAGGGGGGGCTGTGGTTAATTAAAACCTCCTGGCTTTGCTCCTCGTTAGTTCACGGCAAAGTGGGCTGGGCTGGGGGGTGGCTGCATCCCTGAGCATCCATCCCTGAGCATCCTTCCCTGAACATCCCTGAACGTCCCTGAGCGTCCATCCCCGAGTGTCCATCCCCGAGCGTCCATCCCCGAGTGTCCATCCCCGAGTGTCCATCCCCGAGTGTCCCTGCTCGTCCCCGAGGTGCCAGCCCTGATTCCCTGGCGTGCTCAGTTCCCAGCTGCGGATGTCTCCGCCCTGAGCGAAGCCGTGCCCGGGCAGAGCCGTGCCCCGGGCGGCCCCCCCAGCCTGCTGTCCCCCCTGCTGGCCGAGACCGAGTCGCCCTTCGACCTGGAGCAGCAGTGGCAGGACCTGATGTCCATCATGGAGATGCAGGTGAGCTCCGGGAGGGGCGGTGTGACTCGGGTCCCGGCCCGCGCGGTGACACCGCCGTGACACCGTGCCATCTTCCGTGTGGGATCTGGAAGCTCCCCGGCCCCGGGGCTCCCCCACCGAGCCGTGCCCGCGTCTCTTGCAGGCCATGGAGGTGAACACGAGCACGAGCGCCGAGAGCCTCTACGGTGGCACCGGCGGGGACCTCCTGGCGTCCAACTACAGCCTGGCCCCCGGCACGCCCATCAACCAGAACGTCAGCCTGCATCAGGCCTCGCTGGGCAGCTGCTCCCAGGACTTCTCCCTCTTCAGCTCGGACATCGAGAGCCCCTCCATGGCGGGCGGCTCGGCCCTGCTGCAGCTGGCGCCCGACAACTCCACCGGCCTCAACAGCACCTTCGGCTCCACCAACCTGAGCGGGATCTTCTTCCCGCCCCAGATGAACAGCACGGGGAACGAGACGGCCGGGCCCGAGCTGCCCGACCCCCTGGGAGGGCTGCTGGACGAGGCCATGCTGGACGAGATCAGCCTGATGGACTTGGCCATCGAGGAGGGCTTCAACCCCGTGCAGGCCTCGCAGCTGGAAGAGGAGTTCGATTCCGACTCAGGTCTTTCCCTGGATTCCGGCCACAGCCCCGCGTCCCTGAGCAGCTCCGAAGCCTCGTCCTCGTCGTCCTCTTCCTCTTCATCCTCCTCCTCCTCCTCCTCGTTTTCCGAGGAAGGCGCCGTGGGCTACAGCTCGGACTCGGAGAACGTGGACTTTGAGGAAGCGGAAGGGGCGGTTGGCTACCAGCCAGAGTACAGCAAGTTCTGCCGCATGAGCTACCAGGACCCGGCGCAGCTCCATTACCTGCCTTACCTGGAGCACGTTGGCCACAACCACACCTACAACATGGCCCCGGGCGCCCTGGACCCCGAGGAGCCCAAAGCGCCCGGCGCCGGCAAGAAGAGCGGCAAGGAGAAACCGTCCGAGCTGCTGGACAAGCAGCTGAGCCGCGACGAGCACCGCGCCAGGGCCATGAAGATCCCCTTCACCAACGACAAGATCATCAACCTGCCCGTGGAGGAGTTCAACGAGCTGCTGTCCAAGTACCAGCTGAGCGAGGCCCAGCTCAGCCTCATCCGCGACATCCGCCGGCGCGGCAAGAACAAGATGGCCGCCCAGAACTGCCGCAAGAGGAAGCTGGACACCATCCTCAACCTGGAGCGCGACGTGGAGGAGCTGCAGCGCGACAAGTCCAAACTGCTCAGGGAGAAGGTGGAGTTCCTCAAGTCCATCCGGCAGATGAAGCAGAAGGTGCAGAGCCTGTACCAGGAGGTGTTCGGGCGGCTGCGGGACGAGCAGGGCCGGCCCTACTCGCCCAGCCGGTACGCGCTGCAGTACGGCAGCGACGGCAGCGTGCTGCTGATCCCGCGCGCGCCCGCGCCCGCCGAGCCGCAGCCGCGGCGCCAGGAGCGCAAGCAGAAGGACAGGAGGAAGTGAAGGCGGCGGCGGAAGGGAGAGCTGGGATGAGGGCCGAGCCTGGAAGTGCTTGCGGAGGGAACTTTGATGCCTTCTTATCCGATTCTGTCTTCTCGAACCGCACGCGGCGCCGGCGGCGCGCGCCGGGGACTCTGCGGGAGCGGCCGTCCCGGAGCGGGGGACGGAGCCCAGCCCAAGCCCAGCTGCCACCGGCCACCCCCGGGGTGCTGGGAGAGCAGGGACGAGCTGGCATCGCTGCTGGGGAGGTTGGCACGAGGTGGATAAAACAAAAAAAAAAAAAACAAAAAAAAATTCCCACAAAAAACAAACTACTGTTAGGAACTGGCTTTAAGTAAGAGAAAAAAAACAAAAAACAAGAAAAAAAAGAGATTTAAGTGAATGGACTTCAAACCAAGTTATA